AGTGTAATAAAACTAGTGTGTAGCCAAAGTAATAAAAAATTACATTGAGTAAAATGAGTTCAATTTTTAAAATTTGTATTGGCACACTCGAATTCAATTTCAAAAATTGTTATACATATACTACATGAGGAAAGTAATATATATGTATGTAATATAGAATACTGTGTAAAAATCTTCCACGCCAATATTTAATTACTTTTAAATTAAGGCGTGCAAGTAAACGTGTTAGATGACTGCGTCTGGTACTACGGGTCGTATACGTTACATTCGCAACTACAGGTATATGATCATGAGTGGTTATTTTTTACAATTTTTAGTTTATGTTTTAAGTTTTTATTTCAATAAAATTTCGCGATGGAATCTTGTTCTTTGTACAAAACTGAAGATAATGCATTTTCTATGACAGGTGCACCACCATTTTCGATCAAAAACAAGTATTTGTCGAAAAATGTAACAATTCGTGAGATTTGCTCATATATGAAAACCATATAGAGTTATTGAATTCCAGGAGCTCTATTAGTGCCGCGTCACTTCAGGCCAGCTGAGTCAAAACCTTGCAGGTTGGCCCTATACCAGGCACTATATAATAGCACTTTCAATCCAAGGAGGTTATCCATTGATTTTAAGGCCCTCGGCTGTGACGGTTTGTAATAATTTTTTATTTTGTTTTGTCAAAATAGAGAAGGGTACCAAATTACTATTTTGAAACTGACAACTCCTTCTTTTTCGAAATATTGATTGCTAGTCAGTGTCATAGCTTCCCAGAAGCAGTAATAAAATACACGTAAAATTTGTTTTTGCTCTAAAGCTACTACCTTTTCGATACGTCTTTTTATATACATAGATAATGTTTTGAATTAAATGTTGTCTAAATAGGCTTAATCTTCGTGAATACTCGTATAAGGTTGCCACCTATTCGAAATTTGTTATAAATTAAATAAAACATCATAATATGGGCATCAAGTGGAAGGTATTTAAACATCCCCAATTTATAAATATTAAAGAATAGGGTTGCCACCTACTTTGAATCGCATATTTATTTTATTTTTAGTTTAGAAAATAAAGGTGCAATGTTATTATTCATGGATACTAAAAAAAGACACTTAAAAAATGTTTTGCCTATATACTAATTGTTATACCTTAGGATATTAGTGTAAGGTTGCCACTTATTTTCGATTTTAGAAAATTTAACTAAAACAACAGAATGTGGATATCATGTGAAAGGTATTTGGAGAAGCTTGGACCGAAAAGATTTTCGATGTGGGTTGCCACGTTTTTTTACACAAATATGTATTTATTTTGTTAATCTCAGTAAGCGCTTTTTGTATGTTTACACAGCACATATACGCTAAACATGTGCACGAATTTCCAATAGGGTTGCCATCTAATTTTTAAAGTAAGAAATTTACTAATTTCACAAGATATCAAAAGCCATTTTTTTATTTAACTTTGCACAATAAAAGCCAAAAACGTATATGCACTACGAGCAAAGCTTGGCCAACCTGTTACTATGCTCTTAAATATGCGAAATCAATGAGTTTTATTTCAATCTCTTTTTTATTCAATAATATCAAAATAGTGTATAAAATTCCATGCATTTTTAAATTATCAACCAAAAACTATCTCTTCCATAGATCTTGTGGATCCAGTAAATAATACATACATCTTATATTAACACTTGTGGTATAGCCAGGGTTTCTAGACATTTGGCTTTTCATTTTTCTTTTTAACATATCTGTGTTCAACATTTGGTTTATTGGTAAAATTTGCCTTAATGTATCGCCAAGTCTGTTCGGATTTAATCAAATTCATGTCGTGTTTTTAATTTGTCATATAGTTTCTACGGTTTCATCGTCCAGCTGCTGTTTTCTATCAAATGCCTGACATCTCGTTGCTACTCACTTCCTTTTCGTCGAAAAAGTACGATATTGTTGTATGAAAAAAACTCTTATGTCAAATATATACAAAAACGAACAGAACTGCCAGATATGTATATGCAAAATAAGATTTTGCTTAGACTCGTCAGCACTGCTCATTAAATTGTCCGATTTTGGCGCTCTGCCATCTTCAGTGTAATTTTTCTGAATTTCTCTGAAAGCTCTTTCGATTGAAACCGTAGTACCATATGGAGTAAAGTCAATATGAAGGGTAAGTTTTGTTATATAAAAAAATCAAGCAGACTATCTTTCTTGCACTAGACTCATTCGATTTGGCAAGAAGAATATTTTCATCATTTAATTTTAACATTTTGAAGTATCTTAAATTTTGAAAAATAAAAAATTCGTAGAATTTCAAAAATTACAAAATAACTGGAATTAAGAAATATTTTTTCCAAAATAAATAACTTTGATCGATTAAAAGAGATTTTAGCGATATTATTACCTACCTAATGACTTAATTTCGTGGAGTACAAAACCAATTTGTTGGGTAGCGGTTTAGATTCTTTGAGGAGCTCTTAGATTTTAAAGTGGAATTCCTTACCAAATGACCAATTTCTGTGACTGTAAAAAGCTTTCGATATTCTGAAGACAAGCAGAGTATTTTTTTATCAAGGCTGGATATATGTATGTAGCACAAATTATGTCCGAGTCACGGCAGAATACACTTGTAGAGCAGTTGATCTGATTTTGTGCTTCCTTCAAAAGTTAATTCATCAACGATGCTTCTGTTTAGCCAAAAAATCAAGAATTTTATGACAGCATTAAATCATGCACGTTCACGGGATATAAGTTCTTTATGCTCATAACTGCTATAAAATCTGAGGAAAGGCTTGCCAAGCTTCTGACGCGATTTATTTTTTGGTCATTACTTCAGTGAATATATCTAAACCAGTGATGCTCAAAACAGCGCCCGCGGGCGGAACTTTCAAAGCTCTTTATAGATTTTATATGGGCCGCACTGACTTAAAGCTTTCTCTGAGCATCACTGATATAAACTTCAGTTTCTAGCTTTCAGTTGGAATTTGCCATCTGTAATATAATTTGTGGTACTATCAACTCAGCTGACCTTTGGTTGCCATCGCAAATTTAAAAGTTCGAATTTTCAAACTATCCTTTCCTATTTTAGATGTTATAATTTATTTCTCTTCCACCTCAAAACCCAACAAGCTGCTGCGTTAGACTATTTAGCCACTTATTTTTAACAAGATGAAATTTAGGTACAAAAAATGATCTGGTATCTTTCATATCACTATTTTTTCATGTTATTAATAAACAGGGAACGGATTTTATGGAAATTGCCTTTCTTTCTTTTGCATTTTTTAAAATATTTGCCTCTTTTTGCCTTTTCTACTTTAAAGGCCAATGTGCAGCTCTCAAGAAAAGCAAAAATTCCATATAAAATAACGTACAAGAAATGCCTAATAAATTTTCTTATCTAAAAGCAGTACGCAGTTCTTAAAAAGTTTTCTACCCTTTCTAGTACGGTTTTCTAAAGTTTTTTTTGAGCACAGGCAACCCATGCTTGCAACAGAAATCTATGCGCGTTCCATTATTTTTTGAGGAAAGAGTGATTCCACAGGATGTGAAGTACCAGATGTTAAAATTCCTTGGACACACACACGAAATAATGGCATTGTTTGTCTTGTCCTTTTTTTGAGAGCTGCATTTAGAGCGGCGTTTAGTTGTAAAGAGCAAGAAAAAAGCCCTTATTCCTGATAATATGAAAGTTTTAAACGTTCCTTATTTAAGTTGGGCGCCACTTGTTTCAAATCACGTGGAGCGCACGTTTAGTACATTCAATGGGTTTAAATATTCGCGAAAATGGATTGAAAATGCTGCCAGAAAACTTCAAAATGCATCTTGTGGTTCAATCTTACCACAACTATAGAGATTAAAGTTTTGTGAGTTAAGAACTCGAAAGGAGAAAATAGTTAAAGATTCAAAGTAGAAATTTTTCATATAATGAAACTAGTTCATAGTTTTTCTCTTTTTAATTGTAAAATAAATATTTCGAAAATTAATGTACTTTTTGATTATTTTTCGGATTTTGTCTTTTTTGCGTATTCTAGTGCTTTTCCTGCCTATTTTGCTATTTTATTTAGCCATTTCTAGACTATTTCGTTATTTTGCCTTTTTATTGGTTTTTAGGTCCTAAAAATCCGTTCCCTGTTAATAAATCTACATAAATAGTTTAAAGTTGACGCCCACCGTAGTCGAATGTTAAAGGTTGCAAATTATCACTCGATAGGACTTAAGCTGGATCGCCGGTCAGCACAACACTCAAATTAAAAAAAAAAATTTGTTTTTCCATCCAAACATTTCAATCTCCGTTGGAATTAAGGTTGTAGGTTCCTTCATTTAAAAGCGCTGAATATATATTTTTTAATTTAAAGTTATGTTTAATTTTTCTATTCCTTTCCGATATGCACACATATTCTTCAAAAGTATATTAATTCAAAATTTGTAAATTTTTACTTTATGCGCTAAAATGTCCTCAGTCCTTACACAAACTTCCCCGAAAAAAGCTGAAGCAAATTTTCTGTTGCAATTTGTTGAAAAAGTCTTAGTGAAGACTCTCTTTTCCATGTGATTAACAAGAGAACATAAATATTTGTTTGCTTTTTCTGCCAAAGGAGAAATTTTGAGTTACTAAGCATGTATGTACTTGTACATATGTACATACATACATATATATATAGGTGCTATATCACAAAAATTACGCAGTTCATGCATTTCGTTGCTTTTTTCGCCTTGCTATTTAAAAAATAAACAAAATTTGCCCGTATTTCTCCTTTCCCAAACAACTTTGTATAGCAAGGATGTGCCACTCATATTGCTGCTGAAATTTACTTGGCCCTTTGCCAATTACGAGAGATTTTTTGTACTAGTCTTTCATGTGTGTAGGCTCGTTCCCAGTCCATCTCTACTTACATACATATATTTGGCGTGCAGATTTTCCGAACTTGCAGTACTCGCCTTTGGGTTTATTGATTTTATGGCTGCAAGAGTAAAATTAAAAATTCCCTTTGCTCATCGCTACTCTCTTCTTGGCATTTGCAGGTTTTGGACATGACGCTTCACCCATGCACTACACAGCGTACCTGCCCAGAATGGAAAACGGCGAAGTTACTGTAATTACGAATGCGGCTAACGCCGTTGCGACGGCTGCTGCTGCTGCTGCTGCTGTCGCCACTGGCCATCACAACCTACCGTTACCGCATACGGCCCATCATTATTCCTCGTTCGTGCACACGCCGCCGCCCTCGACCGCCTCTTCGCCTTCAGCGTCTCCGTCGAGTTATTCCAGTGTGGTAACAGCGTCCAATAGTAGCAGTAGCGACCGCCTCAGTCCGCCCATCGTACGCATTAAGACAGAGTCACATAGCGATGACAACATACAGCACAACATCCAGATGAGCTCTGAGTCAAGCGCACTACGAAATAAATCACTGGCTATGTGCTTCACCAGCACTGGCGCTGCACTATCGCTCCCTCCAAAAAAGAAAGACATTTACCGGCCATATTCGCTCGATGATAGGCCAAGTGTGGAGCGTTTGCGTTCTCCATATGAGAGTTTGCGTATACCAGCTGAGGAGGATTTGCACGCCGCTCACGCCATACTCGATCTGAGTGCTTCCACAGCCTTCCACCCGCCAACACAGCCACATCAGCTCCAGCAGGTGCAGCAAGTACAGCACAATCCCACGCCGCCGTCACAACTGCACCCGTTACATCATCATCAACATCCGCTGCACCAAATAACTCATGCTATTCAATTGCAACAACAACAGGAGACCATCATACACCATAGTGGTCCATCCATCGCAGATTTGGCAGCGGCCGCTATTGTCGCAAACGAGCAGCGACCCAGAAGTACCGCTTCCCTGCACAGCGTTATGAGCGCATCAGATAGCGATCGGCAGCCGAGTTCGCCGGCAAGCAGCGTCCAAAATGAGAACAGCAACACAACCAACCAGCTGACGACTACCCAGTCAAACAAGACCGTGGCCTATACCTATGAGGCGTTCTTCGTTAGCGACGGCCGCTCGAAGCGCAAACATGTCACCGATCCCACGACCATAGTACAACAAGATCAACAGAAGGCCAAGTACACTTGCACCGAATGTGGCAAACAGTACGCCACGTCGAGCAATCTCTCGCGCCACAAACAAACGCACCGCTCGCTCGATTCGCAATCAGCGAAGAAGTGTCACACCTGCGGCAAAGCGTACGTGTCAATGCCGGCTCTGGCAATGCACTTGCTCACGCACAAACTCTCGCACAGTTGTGACGTTTGTGGCAAACTTTTCTCACGTCCTTGGCTCCTGCAGGGCCATTTGCGTTCGCACACTGGCGAAAAGCCATATGGCTGCGCACATTGCGGCAAAGCATTCGCAGACCGCTCCAATCTAAGAGCGCACATGCAGACGCACTCGATCGATAAAAATTTCGAATGCAAACGCTGCAATAAAACATTCGCGCTCAAGTCGTACCTCAACAAGCATCTAGAATCGGCGTGCCTCAAGGACGAGGCGGACATGCAGTTCGACAGCGCCAGCGATGCCAGCAACGGTATGGTGTCGCCACCACCCTCCATGGAAGATTATCCTTTGGCGCCGACGGCACAGCAGCAGCGGCGTTACATCAGCAATTCGCCAACACCGTCGGCGGTAAATATTGGCAGTATAAGTGCGCTTACGATACCAACACCAGCAGCAGCAGTCGCGGCGGCAGCAGCTGCGGCAGCCACAATGGTGAAGGTGGAAGCGACCTTCGTCGGCTAAAATCAACATTGAGATGAACAGAAGGAAAACAGAACACCAGAACACACAGCAGCAGTTAAGTGGCCCTTTGGTGCAATTGTAAGTAATAGTTAAGAGCAAGCAGGTAGTTAAGAGTGGAAAAGTTCGGAAAGTTGAAGTGCAAAAGTTACGGTTTTGTTGCAAGCGAATGTGTGGCATGTCGACTCGTTTATGTGCATAGTTAAAACCAGTGTAAATTAACCCTTACGGGGTTGGCAAAATTACCAGTGACAGTATGAATAGAATTAAAACTACTTAATATTATAATAATTTAATTAAATAGTTTAAATCTTACATATTTACTTACATAGATATTTTATGTTTTTCGTTCTTATGTTTTAGTAAATTTAGTATTTGTACAATTGAACACACGCTGAACACACGAGACATCACAAAACGTCCACAAAACATTAAGAATACTCGATAAATGCATATACAAAATGAAAATTAGAAATAATATGCAGATTTAAGGCAGTAGTAAGTTAAGTAGTTCTAGAAAAGCAAACTCGTAGTATTTAAGAGTTGGGAGATTCACAAAGCAACAACAACTTCAAATATGAGTAACAAAAAAAAAAAAAACAATTAAAAATACACCAGCATTCGAGCAACACTCGACCGTGAATACTCATACGCATACTGATACTCATATTCATCGCATACTCATACTCATACCAGTTTCAAAGAGCTGCAAGAGCTTTTTTAAATGGATTTTTTATTGAAATTTTCCGTACTCATTTCATTTGTAAATAAAACTTTGCTCAAAATATTCAACTAGTAGTTACGATTAGCGCTTTCCCACATTTCATTCACTAGAAAGTAGCAACAACGCGTCCTCTTGAGCTGCGGGCAATCTCAGAAGCGTTTCATAGCATTTTTCCAACGAAAACACATTCATACAACTCCATTCACAAAGCACCCTCATACTCAGCATGCACATTAAATTTGATTAAAAGCTTATAAAATAAGTAAACGCAAACGTGATTTACAAGGCAACGAATAAATAACATTTTGATGAAAACAAAGAGCAACGTTTCGCATACAACGAATTAGGCTATAAGGATTAGAGACAGATTTTTACAATTTTAAATGACTAATGCAATTTTAAACTTTAATAATACACATACATACACACATATATACTGAATATTTATAGACACACCAATAAAAAAAATATATACATATTTCGCTTATTAAGTAGAAAGAATGCAGAACCACATGCAATAATCACATCGTAGAAACAGTAAGCAATATTAAGCAACGAAAGATAACCACAAAAAGCAATAAAACTGTTATAAAGTTTCGTTCAGCAGCTATGTATGTAGTTAAGAGAGAAAATGCTAATAACAACAAATTCAAAGCAATTATGAAAAAATTGGAAAAGTTATAAAAGTTTACGAAAAATGCAAGCAATGATTCTCATTACGCTAGCTGAAGATTTGGGAATACCCAGCAAGCATTTTCAAAAAGAAGCGATTCGAGGTTAACTCTTTTTGGTGCGAAACTACATGAATTACTTGCGAGTCGTATGCGTTTCATATGGGAAAGAAAAAAATCTGCCACTAAGAATTCTGCTGTACAATATAAAAATCGAGTCGCAGCAATGTTCAAGAAACGACTCTTATCGAGTGGTGATTTTTTTTTTTGTGTACAATAAAGGTAGTCACAGTACGCCAAAGAGGAAATCTGTGTTTTCTCATTTCACTTCACATAGGAGATTGAAAAAGACAGCGCTCTTCCATTTCATCGCAAACAAACATGATATTCAAATTAGGGATGGGCTTCTTCTAGAATTGTAAAACACGTTTCATTGAATCAATGCGAAAAATCTTAATTTTGGAAATAATATTTTCTTTATAAGTTAATTTTTGCAACAGATTTAGGTAACATTTTTCTTAAAAAGGTAATTTTTCAGATACATATGTACATTAGGGCGGGTCAATTTGTATGGGATATTTTTTCTACTATGCGCGTATAGCACAGAAGGATTTTAAACGTAAATATAAGCAAATTTTCCGAAGAAGCCACGGGTCTAAAATCAATTTGGAGTTTGTCAAATTGCGAAAATAGGTTTCTTAGCATTTTTCTGTTGTGTCATTAGGAAGTGCTAAATTAAAGAAAAAACTTTCTATAAGCGGTTTTCTGGTCATTGAATCCGTTTTTGCACTTATATTTTTCTTAAAATTTCCACCAGAGGGCGCAACAGTGGAAAATTTCACATTTTCTTCGAAACGTTTTTTCGCAATTTGGCAAACTCCAAATTGATTTTAGACCCATTGTTTATTCGGTGAATTTGCTGGGAATTGCACATAGAGTCCTCCTATGCTATATGCGCATAGACGAAAAAAATTCACCCGCCTTAATGTACATGGTTTTGTTCCTGTTTTTATTCTGTAACACAGAGCTCTAAATTCATCTTTGCTTTATCTGCACTTTTCATACCTTGGCTCGCTACGACTGTATCTTTGAACACTCGTATTCGTTTACGGGAAAATTAAACGGACTTTAGTCTTAGTCTTTCTAAGTGATAGCTATCCGGTAACTAAGGCCCTCGGGCTTTTGGTGGTACGCTCCGGGGAGTGTCCTACATCCCTTTCAACCGCATCAGAACACTTCGCTATCAAGTTCATACGGCTTCGAGGCTATAGCGATATTGCAGGAACTGTACGGCCAGTGGTCATGGAAAATAGCGTCCTTTGACGAGTTATCGTGTTATGGTCGGGTAAGAAAGTGCAGGCACTCCATTCAAAGAACGTGTTTATGTATATCCCAATAAGCATCGTGGCAACGCTCGGAAATGACCTTCGATATCCAGTATGCATATCAAACTGAGAACGAAATCATAACTAACCTTAGTTTCCCAACCTTCATAGTATGCTGGAAATACACTCGAAATCGGTTCGAAAAAGAGATTTAACCACAGTAAATAACAAGAGAGAAACTTAGATCCAGCTCATTCTCGAATGGAAATTTCGAATTCATAACGAAGGGAAAATATGTACATTTGATAACGAAGGTTTCGCTTTGCTGGATAATGGCCTAGTTATCGAATCGAATACTAACCTATTCCACATTCATTTTCGGAGGTGAGACTTGAAAAAAGATTTGTTTTAAAGTCACTTTGGAATTGTTAACCAAGCACAATGTTTATTGGGATGCTATATTTGTAGCTATTCGATTAGCCCCGATTTTATATTTTCATAATATAAGGAGCTATAAATAGAAGTGAGCTTTTGAGAGATCGGATATTTCTTATAGTGATGCCCAATCGATACAATTTAAAAAAAAGCCCTTCTACATACATATGTGAGCCCCAAAAACCTCGAGTGTATTACTAGCCCCGAATTAACTTCCAAACACTAGCTGGGTAGATGAATATGAATGTGTGTGTGTGTGTGTGTGTGTGTGTGTGTGTGTGTGTGTGTGTGTGTGTGTGTGTGTGTGACTGGAACTACTAATTCTAAATCATCATTAGCCATAATTGTTATTAGCATCTACTAGCGCTTGCATACAAACATACATACATATTCGCTGTGTGTGCTTTGCAGGACGCAAGCACGCTCACAAAAACTGTCCCACACTCACCCCTCCCCCGCCAACGCAGCGTGAATATTCGGTGGCTATCCCATACGCAAACGCATACAACTGGCAGTTAGCTCGGTCATAAAGCATATTTGTAGTACTGGCAAAATGTGGTTGCTTTAAAATTTCACAAAAAAAAAATAATAGAAATGAAAAAACCAAAACCAAACATTTGGATTGAGTAGGGGGAGTCGGAGAAATGCTAACGAACGACGAAAACAAAAATGTGGCATACGTGCAACAAACGTTTTTGCGCTATTAATACGCAACGTACAAGTAATAAAAAATACGTTTTCGCCCAAAAGAGTATGGCGAACTGTGTCCAAATACAAAAACAAAACGCAAAACACAAAACGTAAAAAAAGAACTTCTAAATAACGGGGAGATGGGAAACGCTATCAACGACGACGCTGCTACTCTTTTAATGTCGAAACAGATTTACTTAATTGGCAGCACTGTCTAATTTGCATTTGCGAGCGTGACAAGGCAAGCAGAGGCGTGGTTGGTTGGTCGTTTGGTCGGTTGGCTGACTGGTTGGTTAAGTATTCAAATGGTGGAAAGCGAGGTGCTTAGTATGGAGCCATTAAGGGCACACTTGCGCTTGTACTCCCATATTCTCCCATATGTACATATGTATGTGAGTATGTGTGTATATTTGTGTACCTACATAAATATGTAAATATGTAAATATATATATATATAGTTACAGACATAGATACACACATACATAGATGTGCATAAATAATGTAGCTTGAGTTTTCAAGGGTATTGGTTTCACGCCTCAAACACCATCGCCACCGCCACCGCCACCGCCTCCGCCACCATTGCCACCAATGAAGTACTCCGCCTAACGCAAGCCAATGCGCCTTACTTTATGCAAAGTATCGCAGCAACTCGTAAATTTTGTGCTAATTAAATAATTTTCATGCTTTTCTCTACTTTCTTTTTAAGCAATTTTCATCATACATATGCACATGTATGTACATATGCAGATGTGTATCGTACTTTTTTTTTTTCTTCTTGCAATGAAAGTGGGATATGTGTTTGTTGTTGTATTTGGTTATTCCTTTGTTCTTGGTGGGCTCTTAGTCAGGATTTTGAAACATTGTCTAGTCAATTACCAAAATGTAGTTGAAGGTGTAGGTGTAAGTAAGTAAGGGTAGTTGTAGAGGTAGGAGTAAGTGTAGGATAAACTGCCAAGAACAAAGTAGTTAAGATCACATATTAAGTAGTCCTCCCCCAATTTATGTAAATGTTAGTTTTAGTACAATTAGCTTAGTAGTGTAAAATCTAGTCGCTGTTTGACAGCATTTTCACACTAAATACTTACTCTTTCTTCCTTTGTTACGGAGTTTCTCTCCTTTCTATTACTTAGTACTAAAAAAAAAGCTCTACTGTTCGCTTTGGACGTAAGTTATGTATATCACTCATTCCCTAGTAATAAATAATACAAATATTGTCCCTAATGTCAATTTAAAACAATAATATAAAAATAAAATATTATAATTAAATCAGATATTAGTCAATTAGCATATAGTTTGTGCAAAAAAGATTATCAGACTCGTTGAAGCAATTATTCCTCTGTACGTGTGTATGTGTGTAGGTGTGCGTGTATAGCTGATCCCCTTTTTACACCACTGCACAATAGGTTAAATGATCACTTTTCCTTACTTAATACGTAAACACTAATTATTAGTCCAATCGACTAACATATATTTAGCACTGATTCTTTTAGGTTTTAAATCATTAGTCGTCAAAAAATTGCAATTTCAAGAAATGCATTTACAAGAAAAAAAAACTAAACTTTGTTAGCTGAATCCGCTAACATTAGTGTTCTAGGGTTAAAGAAGGCTTCAAAATTATACTATTTGGACCAACAACTTTAAGGATAGCGTAAATAAGACTAACTACCGTAAATTAACCCTTTCACGACCAATTCGTTTAACCTTTGCACGACCTATAATGCAAACATGCGTTGTACTATTGAATCAACGAACTATTTGAAAAGTGTATTTAATTTTACTTCTCGCGTTCCTTCTTACTAACAAGCTTCAAAAAAACGACTTACATTAGCTTCTTAGAAAGAGCGGTATTATTCGTAATACTTAAAAACTCGTACATTAGTATAGAAAGAAGCACACGCTTAATAGATTAAAATATTAATTTTTTTACTTTAAGATGAACACTATTTTTAAAGCTTCCATAAAGTTAAATTTCTTAATTTAAGGCAATAATTCTTATATCGAATTACACATAAATATGCATTTTTTTCCAACAAAAAACGAAGTTTGTAAATTTTTTAATCAATGTCTTTTCGTACATGTTCAAGATGAGGCCCATTTCAAAGAGCGATCCTTCCGCTATAACAAAGGTATTTTTATTTATTTTACTCAACGCTCTGTTACGAGATATAAATATATGTATATGGAAGGACCTGGAGAATATGTCTGAAATTCAGATATTTTTTGCAAATAAAAAAAAAAACTTTTATAAACTTTTTGACGACAATCTTCTTAAATCGTGATTCTCTTTAAGATATAGTATATGCAATTTATACTATCTTTCAGATTTAAGGGATGTATAGGCCAAAAACAGCGATATTTCAAAACCGTTTTCAACTCTAAAACACAGCAGATTTACGACTAGGCGCTCATTTTGAAAACATATTAAAACCAGGTTTTAAAAGCCTACAAAAGGGATCATTTGACCGAATGTGCAGTGATTGTAGGGACATTCCAAAACATTCGAAGGAATACAATTTTGGAATAAATTGATTTAATCGCCCCAATCTGTAAATTAAACCAAGTAAATGCTGAAAAGTGTTATAGTTTAATGCAAGCCCATACTCTTTCTAACGGATAGCCCCAAAACTGTCTGTGTGAGACTTAAACCCATACTAAACCTTCTGGTCTTATGCACCGTTTCGCTCTTGAGTGCACTGCCCTGTATCTAATCGGGAGGTAGTTTGGGCACGAAGCGCTGCTTTAGTTCGTGTCTAGCAGCACACAATTAAAAATTGCATCTACTTGGCTCTATCCGCTGTATATTTGATTTTTTTTTTGCAAAAAACTTCCCATTGCTGCACTAGTACGTATGTACCTTGCTCATACTCGTTCCTTAATGTTTGATGTATGTCGGCTATTAGAATTCATACATTTCTGCTCTTCTATCGCCGTAAGGCGTGAACAAACCAAGTGGTTACATTTCCATATACGAGCGTACCAGTTCAGAGCCGAATTATCGAAACCGATGCGGCGCAAATATTTCCTGCAAACATCTATGGCCGTTTAGAAACGGAGTTCGGTGAAAATTTCTATAACCGTGTATTCGCAATTCACCCCAGATTCACACATTCCGCCATGTTTTGAAATG